GACAATAGATAATGGTATAAAACATAAAACATAAAAAGTACTCAGTATGATGTAATATGTGGACCTCGACAATAGATAATGGTATAAAACATAAAACATAAAAAGTACTCAGTATGATGTAATATGTGGACCTCGACAATAGCTAATGGTATAAAAGTAAGTGGTTAAACATACGGAAGAATTTCCTAGATTTACAAAGACAAATCTTGTGATTTGTAAAAGGTATATCTAGATACCTTCAGTCCAGTTTCGAATGTGACAATGTCTCAGGTAATAATATTTATGAGGAGAACACAAAGCAATAAACAACAACCCTAACAAGGATGTCTACAAGAGAACTACCAGTAGAGAAAATACTTGTGAATGAAATACAGATGGTCCCCCGGTGAGACAGCGGTAAGTCTACGTACATAGCAGATAACGCAATGTGGCTTTGCTTTAAAACAAACAAAATACAAATATTGAACATAAGAGTGTATTAAATATTGATATTGAACATAAGTGTGTAGTTAAGATATTGAATATTTTGTTTGTAGTTAAGCACAAAACTACACAATGGACTGCCTGTGCTGTGACAACCAAGATTATCAAAACCAGGTTTTTAGCAGTATGAGTCCTCAGACTTAATGCTGAGCCACTGCGGAGTGATATTGTATATAATGGTATAGTTAAAATATCGTTATTGAAAATTATGGTGTATAGAGTATCGGTATTTAAGATAATTTGTGATTTTACAAAATTACACAACATTCTTTTTATCAAATCTATTAACAGTGTAAATTGAAAGTTAAAAGACCAAAACAACATTTTAGCACTGATGAGTGTCAATTAAATTAAATTAATTAAAGCATTTCAAAATTTATCAGAAAAAAACAGATAATGGAAGAATTGAGCAACTAAATTGATAATATTTCAATCAAAATGTTTTATGCATTATTAAGGTCACGACCTATTTTATTTGAAATAGTCTACACGTTAATTTTTTAATCATTAATGTACAAGCAGTGAGCAACATTAAACAGTTAAACATAAAAAATTACAGCAACCTCTACAATGCCAGATTACACAAAGTATAAGCTTATTTAATAACTCCTTTACTACATCATTTATAATTAGGCTTACGTCTCAGATTACAAGGGATTATAAGTTGAGTATTTTAATACATGGGATTTGATAATAGTCAGTACTGTTATTTAGTAGCTAGAGACTTCAAAATTCCACCAATCCTCTCACAATCAAGTCAAAACATGAATTACGTGGTCCTCGCATGAATGAGGTGACGTAGTAGGTGTGTGTATGATGTTTCTCACACCTCCAAATTCTTTTGGAGGTGTGTATCCGAGAGAAGGACTGGCGTCCTAGTCTGGACACCGGGTGAGCATGTTTTGGTGTGACGGGAATTCGAACCCACGACCAGCAGATTGGGAGTCGAGCGCCCTAACCACCTGACCATGCCGGGCACGATGTGGTGTTAATATACGCGACCCTCGGATGGATTCAATGTTAATAGTGGTGGCCCTCAAATAGTTTGTATCTTTCCATCATGCGACACTGTCAAGTGATTAATATTCTCAATGTTTTATTCAGCTTTTAAACTAAAGATTTTCGATAGCGAAATTTAAAAAATCACTTCTGTACAAAAATAAAACAGATAGACGAAATAAGAGGCCATTTGGTTAAAATCCTCGACAAAATTTAAGCTAAACCACGTGAGAAGTGCAAACCTACGTCACATATACAAATGAGATAAGCACAAAGTGATTATCAATAACCTCTAATCTTAGCAAGCTTGTTTGCCCTCCACAGACGACGGGGTTTAAACTACCTTCAACTGACGATCCCCCCGAAAGAAGGGGTAGATAAAATCGAATTCTTTGGAACGTACAAGCAATAAAACAGTTAAACTTAAAATGGTGAATGACAGTGATTTAACGCTGAAAGTTTATCGGGGCTGTCTACACTTATCTCGTCAATTAATGAATGTTTATGGATGTACGAAGATGCAGTGGAGTCGAATGTGAAACAAAATACGTTTTAGAACATTCCCTAAAGCATGTAGCAAAATTCCTAAATTAAGCTTGTTAAACAAGTCTTGCAGGAAACAGTTATGTTATACACATAAGCTGTAGCTTTAAAGAGAAGCTATTACATCGAAAATGTGCAGCCACAAGCATCAAGTTACCACAAGACTGTCGAGACAGCAGTGTATATTTTATACACTGTTATATACAACATTATCTTCACTATCGATATTTAAATGATTTGTTTATTTGTTTTAGTGCTAAATACAATTAGATTTGTTTATGGTTGCATAGTAGACATATTTGAAATGGCTTAATGTTTCAAAATAACGATGTTTAGATTGGTGTTTGTGTTAATAGTAGATACATCTGACACAATGTTTCAAAGTAACAATGTCTGGATTGGCTAATGTTTGAATAGTGGACACAATTGAAACGGCTCAATGTTTCAACGTAACTGTGTTTAGATTGCTGAATATTTGAACAGTATACACAACTGAAATGGTTCAATGTTTCAAACTAACTATGTTTAGATCGGTGCATGTTTGAACAGTAGATATCTGAAAAACTCAATGTTTTAAAGAAACTATATTTATTGAAACAGTGTTACTTTGAAATATTGAGTCAGTTCAGTTGTGTCTACTATTCAAAGAGAGATCAATCGAAACTTTGTTACTTTGAAAC